TTAATCACAAATGTGAAGGCACAAAATGTGCTTAAGACAGGCTATTTCTAGTTCATTAAATTAGGTCTCACCTTCACAACCAAAAAGTTACAACTGTGATGTTATTCCAGAAAAACCTCAGTAAGCAACATCCTATGAAGACAGGTTGAGAGAGTTGGGATTGTTCAGCCTGGAGAAGAGGAGGCTCCACGGAGACCTTCTAGCAGCCTTCCAGTACCTAAAGGGGGCCTGCAAGAAAGCTGGAGAGGGGCTTTTTACAAGGGCGTGTAGTGATAGGACAAGGGGCAATGGATTTAAACTGAAAGAGGGAAGATTTAGATTGGATATAAGGAAGAAATTCTTCCCTCAGAGGGTGGTGAGACACTGGAACAGGTTGCTCAGAAAAGTTGTGGCTGCCCCATCTCTGGAAGTGTTGAAGACCAGGTTGGATGGGGCTTTGAGCAACCTGGTGTAGTGGAAGGTGTCCCTGCCTATGGCAGAGAGGTTGGAACTAAATGATCTTTAAGGTCCCTTCCAACTCAAACCATTCTATGATTCGATGAACTAATTAGTGTCTGTCCCCTGCTGAGATGTGCTAACCCATTAACGCTAGCCTGTGATTAGAAGCCGTTACACACAGCAGCATTCACATCTGAATTTCACACCTGAAAGGCAAAATTTTTACTTGAATACAGATATCATTTGTTTAAAATGTAATTTCAGTGGCAACGGATTTTTCTTATGACTGTAAGAAATTCAGAAAAGAATAAAACTGTTCTTTTTTTCCAGGATATAAAGTTGTCATTCATTCAAGGGAGAGATTCAGTAAACCTGCACATTGTCATTTTGAAGCACTTACCTTTCATTTTAACTTTAGGTCTCTTGGATTCACCTCAAAACTAACAGTTTTATTATATTTATTTTTCTTGGTCAGTAAGAAATCACATAATCCTTAACATCTCTTATTTTCAAGTCTTTTGCCTTTGGTGAATCAAACTTACCATCTCTGCCAAATCACTATATATTCATGTGTCAGTGATGATTCCTGAGTGACTAGAGGCAGTCACTTCAACAGCATTTTAAAATACAGGATTATAAATATGCACTATGATGTTTGGATTGCAAATATCTCAGCTCAAAATCTTGTTTTCCTTGATACATAAGCCCTTCAAATAGGCAGAAAGCAACAGAAAATGGTTTATTGTTTTAGAATAGATATTATCAGCTACTATAGGAAAAAATACAGGAACTACTGGGGAAGTTAAAAAAAGTAATCTCCCAGTTTTCATTTTTTGAAAAAATTAGATTACAGTCTACCAACCCCAAGTATTCAACAGTTCTGAGCCAGGATGCAAATATGTACCAGATGGGCTTGCAAATAATTAATCTTTTTTAAAAAGGGTTCATTTTAGTTGTCATGCATTTTTGGAGTCTAACAAAACCCTGTCTTTTATTAGAATGGTTAGAAACTTACTTTAAATAAGTTGTTCTGCATCCAATGGAACAATACAGAAAGTATGATGTCCTGTAGAGTCCATGCTGCATCCTTTAAACTGAAGTGACTCCTATTACATCTCATGACTTTAGGATCTCCTCCTTCTCCCTCTCCTCCTCTTTCCCTCTGTATCTCTTCATCCTCACAACTTCTAGTCCTCTTTCACCCTAAGGGCAAGAGGTAGCAGGTATGTGGATGGTTGAGTGACACACAGGTTTATAACACCTAAAGTGTGCTGATTGATTGGCTTGCAAAGTGGTCAGTAAGAAAGTCATGCTGAAACCCTTCTTATCAGTAGGATAATTTTATCAATTCCTATATTTTCCTCCTGGAAGCTAATAGCTTCTATAAACCTGTTTTATTTCCTCAGATATCTGCCCTCAGAAAAATTTAGTTTTAATGTGTTCAATGAGTTTGATGTGTATCGGGGAGAATAGGGCTGACCAAGCAACAGTGTGGTCACGTAAGCTTTTCTTTAAGAAACCATGTTGAAAATAGAAGTTATCAACATTGTGCATAAACCTGAAATTTTTGACTGAGGTTTTAATCTATATTTGATTAAAAAAATATGCTGGATACTAATTTAAAAATCATCCTTTTAGACTAAAAATAATAATGCCTGTAAGAAAGGATTAATTACTTTCTATGTTTTGGGGAGCGCAGCTCTTACTAGCAGATAGCAGTGTCCATCATCATCAGGACTTCTAAAATCCTTTCTCACTGCTCCTCATTCAAGTGATGTGCATACATTACAACTTGTTACAATGTATCTATTGACATCTGTATTTATAAAATACACGTTTTATATATATAAACACTTAAATGTGTTACAAAGTTTTTATGCATTCATGTGCCTCCACAGTAGTCCTCACCGTGGATTTTCCTGGCTATTCCGAAGGTCAGAGACAAGCACACCATAAATCCAGATGAGCATGAAACAAGTGTGCACAAAAAAGTTAAAAGATCCTTTATAAGGTAATGACTTCTTTCGGATTCCCAATATAAACCAACTAAACATCCTCATCTTGACAATAAAGAACCTATACTGATCTTGTTCTATATAACGCTGGTCTCAAATTGCCTGCCTCCTACGAAATTTTCTGCTGAGACCCCAACTAGCTAAACAGAATTGGAAGCACCACTGGTTGGAGGTAAGGAAGTCCCAAGTCAATCACAGATTATTCTTCTGTCAGGTCTGCTTGAAAACATTTCCTCTGCTGCCTGGTAACAGATGACAGTGTGCTAAATAACCTTTACCTTGGATTTCTGAAAGCAGCAGACTAAGAACTGACACCAACACAACTTAAGGGAGTGTTTCAACATTTTAATTTGTGTTGTTTTACAAGTATACTCAGTATACTCAAGTGAGTACAGTTTTTAACAGAAGCCCTATACCCTTCCATTGAATACATACACCTCTAAAATTCATAGAGGAGAGCAAAACCACAGTAAACTGGCAGCAAGAGATCACTCATTCACACACATACACCCTTTGTAGCTAATACTATCCTCTCGGTGGAGCTGCAAAACATACCTAGAGCAGCAATACTGTTAGTTAATCTGCACTCCATGCTGTGTGGTGACATGAGGCACTGCAAAAGCAGTGGCCCTCATGTTGGTGGAGTGTTCGAACCATGTCTGGTTAGCCTGTACAACAAGGCAAAACCACAGGACAGCAATATAACCCATATAAATATTTTTTTCCCCTCCCCTCTCATAACAGTGATTTAAATATTCAGTTCCCTATGCATGCACTTTAGGAGACTGGTATAAAAATAGGAAGTAGTATGGCACGCTTTCTAAAAATATGCATAAACAGTAGTCTTCATCATTGGTGTGTGAAGTTAAATGGTACTCACTATGTATACATACGGGACTCCTGGCTGCTGACTTCACTGTAGCACAAACATTTCACTGGCTGAGGTTTGTGAAGCTTCCACAGTTTCCAAATGGCAAAATCACAACTGCACCATCACTTACAGTGTCCAAAGTCTGCTTTAAGGATTTGAGATAGATCTCTTTAGATATGAAGTACTTCTACATATGAAGCCACTTTTTTTTTTTTTTTGACTAACATTTCAGACGTAGGTACATCTGTAGATAGGCAACTACCATAATTCCCTGATTATTGATGAGTATCCAACTACAAAGTCGGATACTCAGTTTTAACTAAGAACACCTGAAAATTTGGCCCTGTGTGCTGAACTCTGCATGTCTGGAAGCAAGGGTTACAATCTCACTTACTCCTTTAACTCACTACTGAAAAAAAAATCTGAAATACTCTTCTACATCTAGGAAAGTACAGAGAAATACTATACTTCTACATACAAGAGTACAGTTAAATACTGTAGTGTCTTCAAGGAGTCACTTCACTATTCTATGCTCCTCAGAAAGAGAAATTAGAACTGAGGTGTTTGGTGTCTTCCCCAGATACGTGAGGTACATTCCCATGGCAAGTTCAGGCCAAAAATTGCCATTATCACCCACTAATAATTTAATGAGATCTAGACACATATACCACACACACACATATATTAAGCAAAATGAAAAAACGTAACTCCATTATGAAACTGAAGAATTAAGACATTCATTTACAGTGCAATAAAGAAAAAAATAAAAATTGCAGCTGTGCACGTGACATATTTCATTTAAATGCCCTCAGACCTGAACTTGAGACATACAATGATGCTGATGTTATCCTTACTGAAGAACTTCACATCCTCCGTGGCGATAGGATAGGACTAAGCTTAGGACACTAGGAGACGTTTTGACTCATGAATTACTTGTTTCCACTAGCAGCCATACTGTGTAAGACTCAAAAGAAATGCAAGGTGCTAAGCAAACAAAGTGCAAAAAGCTTTCACTTAATTTTTGAAATTACAGTTGGTTTTGTGTATTTCCATTCAATTATTGGGTGTTCATCTGCTAAAGCTTTCTCAGCAACTTGCAGAAAACAGAAACACTTTTATTTGTGGTGATATAGTGCATAGAAGAAAAAGTCAACGACTTCCATTTCCTCTTTCAGATTTCAAGCCTGGGATACTTCTGAGGTAAAGAAGTCAGAGGGTTTTGAACTACTGATATTAAACTAACCATAACACATCACAGCTTCAAAAAGAAGGCCTCAGTGTCTTCTGTCCCCACATGGTGAGTCACTGAGTTGCCTCTTTGGTATACCACCAACGCCCTAACGATCAGGGTAGTGCTCATCTCTTAAATTCGGCCATCTAAAAGGGAGACAGATAGTCAAAACTAATTGTCAAGGCATCTGGTTAACACTGAGTAATAGGTCTCCAGAGAATGATTCATATCACTTGCCTTAGAGGACGTTTTAAGATGGGTTGGATTACTCCCTGAAGATGTGCTCTGGAGGGCACCTACATGACTAGTTCACACTATCTGCCCAACTTCTAGATATTTAAAGTTATATGAAGTGAACACCACCCTAATACCAGAACATCAAAAACAAAGTTTTAGGTAAATGATAATGTCAGAAAAATGGGCTATTCCAGAACATCACAACTAATGTGTTAAATTTAATTCCCTTACTAACAAGCAGCAAATATGAAGGGTAAAACAGTGCAAAGCCAATAACCTCTCTGTCTATTCTGGGTAACAGTCACATTTCAGTATTAGTGCTGGCTAATTGGCTGTTTCTTGGCAACCTAGACTACAGTGCATTGTACAAGTCCACTTCTTATACCACAGAGAGAAATATTATCTTATTACACTGATTAGAGTGTAAAAAAGTCTGCAATTTGATCAAAGCAGAGCACAGCTACAGTCAATATATAGTCAAGATCTATGCTCTGTTTCCATGCTAGGGTGGCATGCCATAATGACATCCTATCTGAAATAAAATGCATTTCCTTCCATCCTCAGATTTCCTGAGTAAGATGAGCATCAGGTCAGTTTTTGAAGGATGTCTCCTATAATGACTTCAAAATAAGCACGTGATAATAAACTTATGTGCAAAAGACTCTGAAACAGAAGTCTACAAACCATGACTGCTCTCCGTACACAAACACACACAGATACACATACTCATACACTAAGTTTTCCACAAAGGTAGGCTTGTCAGGTGTCATGCAGTGCCACACCTGCAAGAAAGAAATCCCATCCGCAAGAAACAACATCCAAGATATACAACGTTCCCAGCAGGTGATCTGCCACCTTCCAAAGGCACCTACTTGTTTCCAGTTGTACTAGGCATTGGAAGACACACTTTGATGAGGATTCCCCTTTTGAGAATCCAGTGTCTTGCTACTGCTCCACGCTTCGTCAGTATTTTCAGGAGATTTCACCTCTGCCTTGTCCGTGAGTACGGTGGATTTGGGAGGCTTGCAAATAAAGCAGAGGAACTTGAAACAGGACAGCAAACCTTCGGAAATGCTGGATGAGAAAAGCTTTTTGCACGGGTGACAGAACTGGTAGAACACCAACATGAAGAGGACAGCCATGCAGTAACCTATCAGGAGCTGCAAGACCAACAATGGGGCGCAGACATACAGGTAGATATCAGTTTTATAGATGTACCACATCAGCAGGAGGAATGCATTCTCGATGAATCGCAGCATGTAATACACAGTCAGTCGGTACCAATTTTGGGATTTGTTAATTAAGTCAGGATCATTGAGTTTCACCTGCACCGCCGACCAGCAGAACATGTTAATGCCAGCATACAGGAAGGTGAGAAGACACAAGACGATGGTTGTGCCGACCCTGCTCAATGCCTTCTCTATGTTCTCAGGAAATGGGGACTTGCTCTGCCAGAAGAGAATCCACGGGTAGAAGAAAAAACCAAAGAAATTCACTAGCACAACGGGGAGAGTCCAGATTTGAAGGACTGAACTGAAAAGGACCAACACCGTAACCCGCGTAGCAATCTCAAAGCTTCTCCACATGAATATGCAGAGGTAGGCGGCTGGTTTCACACTGACGTCATAATCATCGTACTTAATCTTAATAGCCAGGATGTTGCAGCGTAAGGCACCATATACAATCGAGAGGAGAGAAAGGACCATAAAAATACCTACAAAGAGAAAAGACAAATCAGGACTTTCAGCTTAGCAGAAGTTAAAGACACCGCATCAGGGTAGTGCAGTAGTTGTCTTCACAGCGCTCCTGAGCATTCCTAGCATGGTGTAATGTCAAAAAAGCTATTCCTTGTATACGCTTCTGGGTTCTTACTCTAATTCTATCTCTTATTTTTGGCCCTCATTTGTTACTTTTCCAAGTAGCTAGAAATAAAAAAAGGCAATTAACAGTCACAGGTGTCTCTCCCTCCTTCTCCTGCCCAGGGCTGCTCACACATTTACTGCCTTTGGTAGTTACACAGCTCAGTAGTAAATGTATCCAAGTTGCTCTCAGACTCTCACAGTACTCCACAAGGCACAGGGGAGCTACTCCCCCTTTGTACAGATAAAGAACTGCGAAACAGAAGCTGAAATTCTGGAGTTACTTGGGCGTGCAAATACCTCAGTGCTTGCGAAGTTCTATGTCGAAGCAAATTATCTAAGCTCACAGAAGAGCTCTGCGATGGAGCTCAAAATTGAAAGCCAAAGCAATTTAAACCCAGAACCACCGGCACTTTTTCTGCCCATGTAGACAGATGTTTCCTCATCTGTCTACACTGTGTTTTCCTATACATCTATTTTCCTTATACATATAGCTATATCATGCATTTAAAAACAACACTCCTTTTAAAAACGTCTTTAAATTCAGATCAACTTTCTGTATCTCTCATCTACCCAGAATCCCTCAAGAGAAGGTCTCATGGCATTTAAATTCTGCAGAAAGCGAAGGCAGAGGCCAGCTGTTACCTGGTCTCCCCTCCCGATGCAGTAGGCGAAAAGCTTTCTGGCACTGCAGAAGGGAGTCTTGTCTTGCTGTCTTGCTACATTAAGTAGGTACAGATGTATAAGAACCCTGGATACATAGAATAAGCATTCGTAAAGAAGTACCTCGATGTACAGAAGTGCTAACTGCCCACGGTTTTGTTAGCATTTGCATGCTTTCTTCACAATTTTTACCAACACGCTGAATAGCTGATTTAGTGGACTAATTTTAGGCACCCTCAATCAATACTTTTAGTTTCAATCTTAGCATTTTGTCCATGCAAGGAACACTTCAAATGCAAATGAATTAAGAACAGTAAAAATGATTCAGTCATTTCTTTTAGAGTTTCAGTGAAACTCTAACCAGCTAACTGGTCATGCTACAGGGCAATATATTACATCAGATAAAACAAAATAATCAGAGTTAAGAATTCTTGATTATGTCAATTACTTTTGCAATTCTTAGCAAAAAGTGCTTTCTGCAATATCCTACTAATGAATCAGATTCCCTGCTTTCCTATAGCTATATAGCCATGACTGAGTTTTTTTCTAATTAAAGTTATTGATTTCTAAGCATGACTTTGAAAGAAACAAGTGTATTTTATGATCTCTAACAACTTTCTAACAGGATTTTCTCTATCATTTTAGCTAACCTCTCTCCCACCCTTATCCTGAAACACCTCTGAATTATTTTGGAAAATAATTAATTAATTCTTTATATCTAAATTTCCAATAACACTCAGTAAGTTGAAAACATTTGCCATGTCATGTGGTAATTTTGTACATGCCAGTTTAGTGATGCATATATTCTCTGAAAATGGTGATGTATTTGCTTGTTTAACACTTAAATTTTTCATAGGTGTTTTTAAACATCTTTCTTACAGTACTGTACTTGATCTGAGAATTTTTAAATGATATGTCTTAGAAAAACATTGACTGAAAGCAGAAGAGCAAGTGAGTGCAGTCAAGAATACCGCTTGATATCCTGCGGCTCTTTAGAAAAACCTTTCCTTTAGTATTGAGCTGGCTTTAGAACTGTGAAAGAACAAATAAGTTCCAGCAGCTAATAAAGCAAAAGAATATAAAGAGTTAAAGAAACAAAATACCTACCCACTGGGACAGAGTGCTGCTGTCCTTGGAACTCCGCTTGCTTTCTGCTTTGATAAGCTGAGACATTCATCTTTTTATCAAATTTCATTTTAAGGATTCTATATTAATCTCAAACTTGTCTTAAAACCCAAGCCTTCAAAAAAGGTAGTTCTCCATTGATAGAATCCAGGTCATGCTGACTCTGGTTTAATACAGAGTCCCACTCCTTTCCCAAAAGCTCAGTACTGTCACCAAACCTTCAGTTCAAACATCACTTTTAAGTCTGTGAGAAAGATGGTTTGAAGCAATCACAAGGGGAAACGTGTGGTAGGTGACATTATTGTTGCTTTTACTCATCCTGAGCAGGCAAAGAAGTGAAAATGTAAAAGGCAAAGTATCTTTCCCTGGAACAGTCCCAAATCCCCTAACAGTCCTTATAAATGTGGCATTTCTCTTCTTCCTTCCTACTCCTAAAAGGCTGTACTTTTCTTACAAATCAAAGGTGCACACTCACAGAGTTATTCAAGGAGGCACTGTTTTACTTTGTTGGGTTTTTTCATGTTTTAAGTCTTCTCAAGATCTGGTCCTTCTCACTTCAGAAATTGCTAATTCTGCTCTAGATGAGCTATATCACAAATTACTGTAATCTTACATTCAGCTGAAGAATCGCAAGTTATCTATTATATATACTATAGTTTTCTAAACCGACAATCAGAACCCTTGAAAAATAAGGGCACTTATTTTGTTACTTAAGCAAGACACTTAGATACAAAATTTTTTGCCTTAAAATAGAATTTCAACACTATTAAAATCAATAACTCAAACCTGTTCATTAAACTAAACGACTCAAACTATACTGTTCAAACAATAAGAAAAATATTCTGTGGTCAGTGCTTAATGAGTTGAGGAGAAGCAACTGTAGAAGCATCTTACGACATTTAGTAAGACCACATACAAAGCCTCGTCATGAACATTAGGAAGGTGACACTACAAACACTAGTAAGTTGAAAAAAATCATAAGCCCAAGACTTCTGTTCTTGAAGATGGCAGTCACTGCTACAAATTTTCATTCAGAAAAAAAAAAAAAAAAAGAATGAACCTTTTGGCAAAATAATTTTATTTTTAAATGCATCCTGGTTTTAGCTGGGACAGAGTCAGCTCTTCTTTTTAGCAGCTAGAAGAGCTCCGTGTTTTGGTTTTACTCAGAGGCTCACTCTGAGAAGAATGCTGATAGCAAGCTGATGTTTGTAGTTGGCACTGAGGTCTCAAGGACTTTTCAGCTTGTCGTGTTCTTGCCAGTGTGCAGGAGCACAACAGGATAGAGGGGAGCATGGCCGGGACAAGGGATCCATGACTCTCCTTATGATTTGTACTTGGACTTAAGATTGAGACCAAACTGGCCAATTAGTATTCCATATCATGCAGTGTCATGCCCAGTATAAAAGTGAGGGACAGCCAGAAAGAAGGGCTTTTGCCCTTCTGGGACTCTCACTTTCGGACTCTCATAGTGCTTTCTCTCTCTCCCGCTCTCTATTTCGGGCCTCCCGTTCATCTGGGATTGCAGTATCGGGATTCATCTGTTTCGGGATTGCAGCTTCGTAACGAGACGGGCCTCGGTCAAGGGGTGGTGAGCAATTACACTGTACATCACTCGTTTGTGTATATTTATCCTTGTACATATCCGTACATATATACATTGGTAGCGGTACTAGTAAATTGTTCTTATCTCAACCCACGTGTCTCTTTTCTTTTTCTTCTTTGATTCTCTCCCTCATCCTTGGGGGTGGGGAAGGGTGAGTGAGCGACTGTGTAGAGTTTGGTTGCTGGAGGGCCTAACCCACGACAAAATGGCAGGAAATCCCCATTTTGAGATTATTTTATCACTGCAAGCAACACTTGAAAAAGATAACTTGACTGCTGTTATCAGCACAAAAACTAAACTCACAAAAAGATCGCTCTTCACGGAAGTGGATCTTCCGCCCTCAGTACTGCACAGAGAACGAGCCCTTTTTCAAGCGTAAGAGGCCAAGTCACACATCCCCCATCTCCAGATCTCCTAGCTATTTTTGTAATTAACCCTAACTCAGGTCTTTTTGGCACCTCCTGGCCTTGCGCTTCTCCAGGTGGTACCACCTAAGTGAAGAGGCCCTGATAGCTGCCCAACAGTGTGTGAGTGGACCTGAGCCCAATGTCAGCAGAAGGTTACAGCCGGCTTTCAGGCGATGCAGGATACTGACAGATGCTGGAGCATTTAGTGCAGGGTGACGGCCAAATGCACAGGAGAAACCCTGGTGTCAGTTCTGAGAGCAGCATTTACAAAGTCAGCCTGGATATTTCATACAGTAACCAGTCAGGAACTGCTTTTTTTCCCAGTTACACTGTAACCAAAGGAAGAGCTGAATGTCTAGAACTAGGACTCAGATTAAACTATTACACAGGGGTTTCCAATGCTGCATTTCATACAACAACATTTCTATACATTTCATGCTAAACAGTCACCAAAGTTTTATGTCTTTCACTAACCTAGAGGCTTTTTCCTCCTTTTGCAACTCTCTTTAGTTCTCTTGATCTTAACGTTCTTGGCAGACAGTGAAATGACAATTTGGGAGAATGCCAGACACTGGTAAGAATCTGATCATCCAGAAGAAAACATCCAGAGAATTTACTGAATGCCATGAAATACACAAGAAAGATGCAGCATGGCTCTGGTTGACAAAGGGCTACGCAAGGATGCATGCTCTTTTCAGAACTGTTCAACTCAGTACTGGAAGCAATAATGAGTTTCGAACAGATCTGGAAGGGACAAACTATGCTATGTAGCATGTTGGTAAACAGCTTTAGGTTCACAGGTGATACTGACTTCATTACCACTGACCAAGCAGGATTTGCACAGAATAACAGACAGGGTAGTGTAGGAACCCAGAAAAATAAGAGACTGATGAGGATACAGGACAAAAAGTGTGGAAATCAAAATACAAGAAGAGAGTGATAATTGTAACAGAAACAAATGGAAAGGAGCATGCAATTTGGAGGGCCAGTGTCAAAGAACGGGGAAGCTGAAGACATCTAAAGTGTGGAAGAAGAGCTGGACTGGCTGTTAAATTACTTTGACTATGCTGCAAGATCAAAAGTTTGAAGCCATGTCCCTATACATGAGAATCCCCATGCACATATAACAAACAACAAGCTGAAACTGTGCTATGTGTCATTCCTGTATACTCTTGGAGGATGACTAATACTTATGGACAAAAGGTACTACTACAGAAATAAACTGGCTAAAAAGATCGCAGGAAGTTTCAGTATTTCAGAAGGTAAAATATACACAAGAGGAATGTGGTTAAGACTCTTGTTTTTCTGATGAATGAGCTCTAATAGACCTTGCCATTGTTCCTAAATCACTGATTAAGAAAAAAAAAAAAACCCAAAACTTTTTTTTTCTTTTAATTTCTATATTTTAGAATGGCACCTGCTATCGAGATGGCTCCTGGGAGACATGAGATGACTACTGGATTTGCTGTTGGGTTCACTGAACTCCCTGGTGAGCCAGTTTACCTCTGGTTGTTTAACTTCACTTCACCCACAGAAGGTCACTTAGCAGTCTGTGATTCAGAATTTGCCTCAGCAGTAACTGATAAAAGTCAGAAGTAATAGGGCATTACGAATCATTATTAAATATGCAATTCTCTAATCATCTGGAACACAGCGCTTCTCCTTGGCAATCATGACCAGTAAGGTCAACATCAGTAATAGAAGAAATACGATAAAAAGGTGACCTTTCTCAAGCAAATGCCATCTGCAGTGAAGTGATTCGTAATTTTGCTAATTGCACCTCTCAGCAAAGGATTCAGTTGCTTTGTTCTCATCCCATGCCACAGATGCCATAGTTATTTGAAGAGTCTACCTTTGCTGTGAAGAACTCAAACCATCAGAGGCAATGTCTTTCAAGTAACTACTGCTATGACCTTAAGCAAGTACTTTTGTATAAAGACCTTAACCTGTTCTAATACCCTTATGTGCTGACTTGCCCTTTAGTATATTGAAGTTTTCCATTCCTCGAGTTGAGGGGAGAACCCTGATGTTACTATAAAGGCTTCTCCAAAAATGTTAGTTCCTTACCTTGCTACACTGCCAACCAAGGCACCAGAACTGAAAAAAGCATTCAGATTCGTAACATATCACCCTAGCCTCAGCCTCCCTAGCTGTGAAGCTGTTAAAGATCCCTGGCCTCTCATGGCCTCAGAGATAACAAGAGCTATTTTGTATTTCAGTGGAAACACACCTCCAGTTTGCATAGCTGCCAAAGTCCTTTCTTACACTAAAAAGCTGGTTGTCCTACAACTAGCTGGAGTAGGTTCTTCATTTAACGGCCAACCAGCAAATCAAGGCTTTTTTTCCAAGGAGCTGGAGCACATCATGGAGCAAGATGCAGAGACCCACTGTAAGAGAGATGTGTCCTGGTAAGTCCATGTGGTGCAGCACTGCTTGGTGAAGGCTTAACAGCTTGGGTCCAGAGATGATATGACCACATTTGCATACCAGCTTATTGAGTCCTGTCTTTTGATTCCAAATTCAGAGTCTGGCACAGGTAAAGACAGTTCACGTCCTCAGTCCATATGTGCAACTGCATTCCTCAAAGTACACCTTCCTTAATGCAGCATGGCAAAACATGCTCTGCACTGTACCCCAAGGAATTTTCCAGAAAGTTTGCTCAAAACCCAAAACGGAACAGAGGTAAATCATCTTTTTTTCCTCTTCATGAAGACAGCTCAGTCCCTCCAGCTGCCTCCCTCTCATGCCATAATGGTCACTTTATCAAATTAGTGTTTTTATAGCAATCCAAGTATGCTACAGGAAGTGTCATAGTGTAAAACATGATGATATAAACTTGAGAGCAACATCACCATTAAAAGCTGTCAGGGAGATGAAACCCACTGCAATATGTTTGGTTCTTGTCCAGGGCAGCTACACTGACTGCTGACCCTTCTCCTCTCCCTCCCACCAAAATACGGAGATGATAACAACAGCTCTACCTACTTCTGGCAGCCGTGATCTCCTGCTGCAGGACACAGATGTATAGCTGGAGCGTGAGCTGGGGTGCTGAGCCAAGGAATGCCTGGATCACAGATGCCCTGCTGACCGCAGACCTGTGTGTACACAGCTTGCCTTCAGCCTGCCCCACTTCTTTCTCAATTTCTTCCGAGTACCCATCCTTGGGCATCTGCCTCTTCTTGGTGATGCTGACATAGGGCTCTTCAACTCTGCCAGCGCGGAAGTAAATGTAAAAGACTTCCACACACCTACAAGCAAATCAGTAAATAGAGTAACAGGAAAAAAATTAAAGAAAAGCATAGGTCTTCCTGCTTCTTAATATTTTAAGATATCACATACCAAGTCCTAAGTCATTTGTTATGCCTAACACTGGTACAGGCTTCAAGAAGAAAAACAATTGTAGTGTGAGCAGCAGAACTGGTGCGGGCTAGCTTCTAGCTCAGAGGGAAGCTCTGGGGAGAGAAACTCCCGCTGCGAGGGTGACCTGTGGCACCATCCCTGGTCACATCTCCTCCCACAGCCTGACACACATGGCATCTTCTTCTTGTGTAAGCATTATCCTCTGATGAGGACTGAGCTGCCTTCTTTCCTTCCATAGTGTCTGCTGGGGTTAGTCTCCTCTACCTGGCTGCCTCTGAAGGTAATACTTGCTGGAATGCAGCATCTCCAAGTCTCTAACAGGTCAGATTTGGCCAGTGAGTTTTTGTAATGTACAAATAAGGCTTATCTTGTATTTGAAAGTATCTCACAATTACAAAGCATGGAGCTATGCTTGTCTGAGACTTTGAACTCCCATTTCCTTCTCAGCTTGACTGTTTTCTAACAATTGCCAAGTCAGGGTCTATCACAGCCTTTAGGGGAAAACTCACGGACCAAACTGTAAAGCAGCACTGATAAAAATTCAAATAAAAGCATATTGATTTTTATTTTAATAAACTTGACTTCATTTTTTTCCCCCTAACTGGACCACTAGCAAGTTTTAACTGCTGTAGATGGAGAGCAGTTTTAGGATCCTGTAATACCATCCTTGAGTCACTAGGTGTCAGCTACCATTATCACTAAAGCTATTTGAAGCAAGCCGTGCGCTGGAGGCTCCATTCACAGCGGTGACTTTCAGTTTTCCCCTTGTTAATCTTTCAGTCCCTACCAGTCTTGTTCCATGTAAAACAATCCACATAGCCAAAAATAAAATGTGAAAAATTAATAAAGCACAACAGCTTATGAAGCCAATGGAGATTCTGAAACCAACAAATTGATTTTATTCCAAAAGAAAGATCCCAGAACATTTTTGTCTCGCTTAGTATTCACAGTCATCTATTCGTCCTGAGCTGAGGGCAAGTCTGAAGCTATTACAGAAAATGAGATCTCAGCATCAGTCTCTGAACTGTGTGATTAGAAGCAGATATAGCCTAAGGACCCATCTAATGCAGTAATCCCATAAAAGAGATGATAAGATTCTTAAGACTATAGTAAATACTATAATCAACAAAATTTTGGGGTTTGGAGCAAGCATTTCATTTGTATTTATTAGCTAGGTATTAAGTAGCAGTATACTGTTTGTGACGGGAAATTTTATGTCTGTATAGAAAAGCAAAGGCAATGTGAAATAGTCTGATGAGCAAATCTTAGAGCCAAAGGGGACTTTTACCAATACCGCAGAGTAATAAAACCGGTATGTGCAAGCACTCCGATTACATCAGTAATGATGCCCATCTTCTCCCAAGCTCCGCCCATCCCATGCAAGAATGTCTCTGGATGTCACGCCTTCTGGGCCAAATAACAAATGCACTCAAGACTCCAGCTGGTGCCACTGCCCAAGCAACTACTTCACACAGGAGCAGACTGGCAGCTGACACACTAGAAGGAAAGAGCACCAATCTAAATGTTGAAGAAATAGTGTGTAAGAGGTGCGTAGGCACTTGAACTATCCAGGTGAGAAGTGTTCAGAACGGCGATGAAGAATCGATTCCGATCACGTACCTGTGCCAGGTTACGACTGCGCCTATGAAGTGCGTTCTGAAGGGCTGGGCGTCTTGTCTTTAAATGGACTGGCTTGTTCTTCTTTATTATGAAACACAACTAAGAGACAATTCGAGAAGGCGACTGCTTCATGCCAGTTTTCCTCCACAGTTACCAACTGGTATGGAATGGGGAATTCCCCAGAAGCCCCAGTTGCTCAATGCTCATCACTGCTCCACTCCAGAGGAACAGGAGTGAGAGATCCCAACTGCTGCACAATCCATCTCCTGCAACGCAGTGATGTTTAGGGCCTTTTCAACAGATCCTCACACGGCATCAACAGCAGAAGGCACGCAGCTGGCCATTTTCACTGCATGTAAATGTAAAGCAATGACAGTTGCAGTATGGGCTCTGAAGGAACTAAAAATACTCTGAAGAAAAATACTCTCTACAGTGAAAGTCAAGAGGTAAGAAAAAGATGGTGCTGCTTTCTCCCCTGCTGCCAAGTCTTGGCAGAGAGAAGAGCTATACTTTTTCAAGGATCCTGATGGTGCCTACAAAGAGTGATTCAGCAGCAACACATTCTTCTACACAGGCAGTAGGAGGAATAATCCTATCCTTATACGCCTGCTGAGAGTGAACACCTCATTCCCTCTTTTAATCACGGATGCGTGGGATTTAAATACAGGCAAAATAATGGTGGTTAGAAGGGGGAACAGGCAATGAAAACAGAGAACTTCCCACAGCCAACAAGCGCTCCAGGAGCAAACGTCTATTTGAGACCTATCCATACACGCTCACTGCGAATGTACAAGCAGATTTCTCTAATGACTCAACTGTTAGTAATTCCTTTTCTTTAGAGAAGTGTGCAAAAGACTTATCAGTCCTGCATATTTACTTACCTGCACCAGGCAAAGATTTGTTCCTCACTCATTGTTCTACCTTCCATCTGCACTGACTTTCTGTTCATCCCATCATGGACACCTAACACATCTGCTCAAGAATGAAGAAAAAAAAAGCCCGAAGAGGGTCTAGCCATATTCTTCCCATCTGGAAAAGAGGGAGATGTATCAACAGTTGTAAAGTTTAGAACTAGCAGAATCTCCTACAGTAAGGTCTGCCAATGGAAGTCCTACAAGGAAGAGAGGTTTTTAGATCTGTGTTATTCTGAACAACAAAGCAAGTCACTAGGAAAGAGAGACTACCCACAAGAGACAATGCTTCTGCACAATGGGACTAAAGCACTATCTGCACCATTAGAGCTTACTAGATTTCAAACTGCAGAATTAGGTGTCCAAAGCATTAATGACTCCAATAATTTAAGCCTATAGGTGTTTTGGTTTTGTTTGTTTGTTTGTTTTTTCACTTCCTGCAACTCACAGAATCTAACTTTGGCTGTAACAGCAGCTCCTTTGGCAGTTTGACGCAAACTTCCTACTGCTTCTGCTTTGCTACTGTCTACACAGTACGTAGACACATGAAATTGTTTCTCCTTATGCCTTTATGCCTTGAGAAACAAAGCCCACGCCCATTTCCAAGAAAAAAAAAAAGGGTGAAAAAAAGTCTATTGTTTATATCCTTGTCCCACTGAAACCTGAGGAAAACAGTCATTAGTGTTCTATACAGGGGCCTGTTATATTTGCTTTTGATTTTTTTTTTGCAAGAGAAGTTCATCATTCTGCCGACCGAGCCATCTCCTAATTGCATGTTCTTCATAAGGAAGAATCTGTAGGCCCACATTTAGCTGATAGAGCACTAGGGACAATAGTTTTAAAGGCACCAGCCGTCACTTAGCTCTCCTCTCCGTGAAGTCGGTATCAGAAGGAAGCACTGCCAAGTTCACACCAGTCCCTTCTGGATATGCCACCTGGGTATTGCCTTCAATAGATCGGATGGTAGGGAATCGCCACATCCAGTCGACTTACGGTACAATGCCATCAACACCCTCTGCTCGTGACCATAAGCCCCGACTGTTCAAGTCAGTTCGTTGGAAATCTGCACTCCTCACTTCAGCTCCTGACCTATTTATTACTTGCAGAACAGAAAAGGGCAAGCAAGTTAACAGGGAGTTCTCTGGCACCCTTCGTGAAGAGTTATTTGAGCTTTGAACAAATCCCTAAGTGTGGAACAGGACACTAGCAGAAATACATCCAGTTATTATTTATCGGAATTGCAGCAGCACCTAAAAATCTCAAGATGATCTCGGTGCTACAGGTGCTGTCCAAATGAACAGGGAACAAAGAGACAGTCCTTGGCTCAGGAGTAGCCGATAACGAGCCAAAAAGCTCATCATGGTCTTCTCTAAAGAAAAGAAAAATACATTAAATCTCTCATTGACATTGGCTATCGTTTTAAGTAATTGTTTGTGTCATAATTTACTTTATGTGGTAAAACAATCTCCTTTCACAAAGAAAAAAGAGAAAGTATCCAAATATATTTTCTAAGCATCCAGACAAATTAGTGCGCTCACAAGGAGCGGCCCCAACCTGGAACACTGCAGGAATCCCCCATGGTGCCTAGAAACCTGGAGTCACTTTGTTCCAGCCAACTCTCTGCATAGTCTCCAGCATATCTACATCATAGGGATCAGTGCCGGGCCACTGAGGGAAGGCAGGAAATTTACACTACAAATTGCTCCGAATTGATGGAAAAACTCTTAGGAGAGTGGGAGGAGGAATTAAAAAAGGGTGTGCTAACAGTACTCTTCCAGTACAGCAAAAGTCCTCTCCAGGAAGAGGGATGCTTGCTAATTTTAGTGCTTCCAGTGGCAGCAGCAGGACAGTGAGTTCTTCCTGAACAGGTGGAGAGTGGGTGTTTGGGGAAAGTGGTGGTATGCAAGAAGGTTTTATAAGAGAATGTACTTTTTTCCCTGTCACACAGAGGATTCAAAATAGGCTGGATCATTCGGCTTGCAAAGCTAAATAGCCTCCTTCCTTGCCAAGATATTTCCAAACCATTCCTTAAAATTTAAACTTAACTTTTTAAGGGAAAAAGTAAGGAGAGAAAAATGTCTAGCTCTTAAGATAATGAAGAAAGGTCACACGACATACATGGGCTGTCCATAAGGCAGTGCACTGATGTTTGAGTATTTAAGTCTGAATGGAGAAATACTATCCTGCATCATGTCACAAACCCAACAGAGATGGTTAAAAAGTTAGCGTTTTTAAGGCCAAGGCTTTTTACTCAAGGCTCTTTAACATTTCATTCTGGTGCCGCAAGCGGACAGAGCCTGGGCGGGTCTACTCTCTGCGTCCTATTTGACCTAATTTGACCCAGCCCTCCTTAAAAGGC